ATTGGTAAAAAGTCGATTTTAGCTGAGCTGATCCTTCAGAATGAGAAGCAATTACGATTCCTGAGCTAACTGACTTGTACATTTATTGTTATTATTATTTTTACTTTTCAGACACCTGGTGAACTTGTTCTCCGATGACCCAGGGAGTTATTTTAGTCAGGGTGTCCCTGACCTCCTGCTGGTAGATTAATTACATATTTAACATTGCGTTTTCAAGACGAAATGATAAATCTGGACACACAGAGGAGGCAGAAAAGAGAGCGAGGGAGAAGAGAGGTTGTTAAGAAACAAAACAAGGGATTGCAAAAGGGAGAGATCAAACAGAAAGAAAGGAGAATGTAGGAAATGCAATTGGGAAAGAATTTCAAGAAAATAAGGAGAAAGGGCAGGAAGGGCTGAAAAGGCGAGCGAGAGGGAGGGAGTGCGGGGAGAGGATGGGGGGGGTTCAATTCCCTGGCGAGGCTCCTGGCGCCCGCGCCCCGCTCGCCAACAGCCTCCCAACTTGGGGAGCAAGCCACCTCCCCGGGCCTGCGTCGCCTGCAACTCCCTCCAAGTTTGCCGGTGGCTCCTCCGGGGCCCCTGCCCGGCACCACCCCCTCCGCTTAGGGAGATTGACAGTCGCGTGGAGGAGGCTTTTCCAGGCACAGCCTTTCTCATGGTAATCAGCCCCCAGCATCACCTCCCCGCCGCGGCCGCTCCCGCTCCCGCACCGCGCGCAGCCCGCGGACCCGGGGGACCGGAAACGGGGCGGGGGCGGGGGCGGGCGGGCGAGCCAGGTCAGCTGACCGGGCGGCGGGGCGGGGGTCGCGGGGCTCCCGGGCGGGGCCGGGCCCGGGGAGGGCGGGCGAGCGGGCGGGGGCGACCCTCCCCACCCCCACGCGCTCCCGCGCCTGGGCGGCGGGGCCTTACCCAGAGATCAAATGGAGGGCCGAGGCTGGGGGCGTGGGGGGCCGGGCGCGCCGAGGACCGGGGCCCCCGGCAGACCTGCTTTGCGTCAATAAATTAAGACGCTCATTTGAGTCTCGAAGTTTGCTGGTTCCTGTCAGTGGAGGAGACGTTGGCAAAAGCACTGAAGCCGAGGGTCAGCCTTAACTTCCAAAAATTCAAAGAAAAGAAACCCTGCCGCTGGCCGCGCCGCCGGGCCAGGGGACGCGCGAGATCCGCAGCCCGCGGGCCGCCCCGCAGGGGTGTCCGGGCCGCTCTGTGGCTCGCTAGTCCCCGTTTTGATTTTGTTGGAAAGGGCTGCTCAGAGAGATGCTCCTGATTGTTTTCCCCCCTCCTATCCTAGGCTCAACTCCGAATGGATTGGATTGCGAGTTTGCACGTGAGAAACCGTTTGGCTTGGCTCGGACCCCTGCCGCCCCCAACCCCCTCCACACACTGCCGATCCAGGGGTCCCCCTTATCACCCTTTGCTCGCACTAAGAAATGGACCGCCTCCTGCGTCACCACACGGGGTCCAAATAATTCCTCCAGATGAAAGATCAAATTCTGTTTCCAAACGAGAATAAGTTCCTTTTTAACATGTTTCTCCACATCGTACAAAATAAACAGGATTTGCTTTCATGTCTATATATTTAGCGGTGGCCAAATTCGAATTCCTTCTACAGCCTGTGTGTTCAAGGGCAGAAACTTTGTCTCCCTTCGGGCATCTGGGCCCGCGAGCAGAGCTGGGGGCTGGAGAGGGTCGGGGGAGTTGTGAAAGTTGAGGAAATTGACAGACTGAGAGGTGAATGGGGGGACAGGCACCAGGTCCCGGCTGGAGGGAAGAGGAAAACAAAAGTGCATCTTCTCTCCCTGCCTGGGTGGAGGGGATCCTGCGGGAGGCAGTTTGTTTTACTCAGAGAAACCCTAAATAATTATTTTCTCCTTCCAACGTCGATTGCAATATTAGTTCACATTTGCATGTATCTGTTGTTTTAATCCCCTTCGTCTGGGCTAATCTCGAAATGGATTATTAATGGAGAAGAGAGACGAGAAGGAGCGATTCATTTGCAGGACTTGCTCTGCTGTGTGAGGCGCCTAAAGCCAGCAGCCCCCAGTTCTCTCTCTCTCTCTCTCTCTCTCTCTCTCTCTCTCTCTCTCTCTCTCTCTCTCTCTCTCTCTCTCTCTCCTCGACTTTTCCCTACGTCCTGCGCTTCTGCACCCCGCTGATCCCACTATCCCCGTCCTCCCGGACCTGGCCTTCGCACTGAAGGAGTGTTCGGGACAAATTGCTATTCCGGCTTTCTCGGGTCCCACCGCCTCTGCTTTGGTGGGAACTCTGACGGTCAAATGGGGAGGGGAGTGCCAGGGACGTGCCAAGCACGGGCGAGGGGGAGGTGACATGGGGAAGGGGGGTAACCTACCAGTCCGCCCACCCCTTGAAGGGACCCTTCCCGCGCCCCCATCCAGATTTCCACCTGGATGGGAACCTGATAGATTGCTGTTTACCTCACGTGAAATACTTGCATGTCGGAACTCCCAATGCTAAGAGTTGGGGCTGCCTGCTGCCACTTGAATGATTACTGAGCCCAGAGTAATCAAATGATTAGGTGTTTTTAGTGGAAATACTTGAGGGTCTTTTTTTGTAAGTCAGATTCTAAGTAACCTGACATTAATATAGATAATACAGACAAGTGATTTGACAGCCGTTCGATTGGCTCCTTTGACCTGAAGTTTTGCCTGTGAGTCTGGGCGGTGAGTCGCCAGTGGCTACCTGGGCTCAGAAGTGGGGTCCTGCCGGGATCACTCCATGCAATGGGCTCCTACTTCCCCAGAAGTGGGAGAGGGGAGGCTGAAAAGCAAACTTCTAGAGAAAGCTGACTTCTATTTTTTTTTAATGGGGGGGGGGGCGGGGGAGAGAATGGGAAGAGGAAGAAAAAAGGATATTAATAATAGAGACAACCCTCAGAGGAGGGACTTGATAAGTCTATTATTATACATATGAAGTATAGGTATAATGTTGAAAGAAATGTAAAACAGAACATTGAGAATGTGTCTGACCCATGTTGGAAATCTTTAATAATTTTCTCTTTTTTATTATTAATTTTTAGACTGACGAGCTTGACTGCTCCTCTTCTATAGGTAATTTCTCTGTAATGGGGTGGGCAGAAGATTAATTTATCCAGCTAGTCTCACTGTAATAAATATTCAAGTTAGGAAAAGAGGTGAGTCTGTAACCAACTGTGAGAATTGACTTTCTTGCAGCCTAAAGTAAGAATTGGCTGCAGTCATGCTAGTGGCTATCCCAGCCCCCTCCCCCTCCCCCCCAAAAAAAATAAACATACAAAATACAGAGACTTGCACCTCTGGGAGTGTGGATGTGGCAACCCTTGTGGTGGCTTTTCCCTTCTCTGAGTGCAATTGCCAGCGACTCTTACATCCAAAGTCTTGCTTTAGGCACACATTCAAAGCACAGTTCAAAGCAGTTTATCTTAATGTAAGTAAAAGTCTAGTGTGGATCGGAGTATTATTTGTTTCAGATTTCATCAGACTGAAAACAGGGGGCTGTGACATAGTAACAATATTCAAGCAGGAAAAAAAAAAATGGCATGAGGCTCTTCTTTAGCCTCCTTGACACCTCTACCTTTACCTTTGCTTGGAAGCCCTAAGGTTATGGGACTGGAAGTTTATTTGTGCTCTGAGGTTTGCAAGCACTTTCACTCTAAAAAAAAAAAAAAAAAAAAAAAAAAGCCTCAGTTCTTTAAGAAATTGAGCCTGAACCATTGGTAGCTAAGAGATTTCTTCCTTTTCCGATAAATGCCTGTGCTCAGCATCCTCAGATTTGGCTGTCTTTATTTACTTCTATATTAGTTCCAATTATGTGCAGTGTAAACCAGCTTTTTGATTAACAAAACAGCAGAGCATTGGTTAAGAACACTTAAACTTCAAAAAAAAAAATTCCCCTGGGAAGTGGGCTCTGAATTGGTTAATAATGTGCAGTACTTGCTAAATTGCTGACTTCCAGATGTGGAAAATATCTTTCTTGTTTAGGACCTATGTAACCTGATTGGATTACGACAGAAGCGTCACATTGGAGGCTTTTGAGTGATTATTTAATTAACCATACAGTAGAAAGCTGTATTCTCCAGGAAATCCCTTCCATATTTACATAACCAATCCCTTCAGAGCAAAGGTGGAGTCTTTTCTTTTTAATTTTACTTTAATTGCAATATCAAAAAATACAGACTCCCAAACTTGGACCCCATGCTGTTTAATATCATGCTCTTCCTCCCCTGCTAAGTTCCTCTACGGCCTTCCTCCTTTTCCTCCTGCCTCACTACACACGCTACAGTAAGGTCTCCAGGAGATGTGGAGGGACTCAGAGATCTGTCAACCCAGAGCTCTCTGGTAATTACTTAGAGACCCTCTTTTTAAAATGCCAAACCACTTTTTAGTTTGAGGATCCAATCCAGAAATTCATCTCTCTCTCTCTCTCACACACACACACACACACACACACACACACACACACACAGACACACATCCTAAGATGCAGTTCACATGTATCTTTTTCCCCTCCCTGGCTCTGGCATCTAAAAGAAAAAAAAAATTAAAATAAGAGAAAGGGCAAAGAATTTAGTTCCAGAAGCTGTGCTGAGAAATCCACACAACTTCATGTGCATCTCAAATCTGGCCATTAGAGACATCCACATAAGAAGAGGCGATCTGGATTGAGGACCCGGGATCTTCCTCTTCAACTTTCACCCCTTAGAATACTCCAGTTCAGTGAATGGTGTGCACCGCTTTGCTTTCCGCCCTGAACTCTGTAGGATTTAGTGATGAGGATAATGATGCCAAAGGCTTGACGGCGGGGGGGGGGGGGGGGGGGGCGTGGAGAAGGGAGGGAGGGAGGGAGGGAGCGAGAGGGAGGGAGAGAGGAAGGGAGGGAGGTGGAATTTCATTTCTTCCACTAAAGCGTTTGCGGAGACTTCAAGGTATAATCTATCCCAGATCCTTTCCCAGAGAGAAACTTGGCGATCACGTTTTCACATGATGCTCACGCTCAGGGCGCTTCAATTATCCCTCCCCACAAAGATAGGTGGCGCGTGTTTCAGGGTCTCTCTCTCTCCTACAGAAAAGAAAAAGAAAAAAATGTCATTAGAAGAGGCGTAACACGTCAGTCCGTCCCCAGGTTTGTGTTTCCTGGAGTGGCTAAAAGAGATCAGTTCTAACCTGCTCCGCAGGAATAACGGTCCTGCCTCCCCACACTCTTGGCGAGGTTTTGTACAGTTTGCTCCGGGAGCTGTTTCTGCGCTTCCACCTTTTTCTCCCCCACACTCCGCGGCTTCTTCATGCTTTTTCTTCTCACCATTTCTGGCCAAAACTACAAACAAGACTTCGCAGGTAGGTTTTTTTTTTTTTCCTCTTTTCTCTCTTTTTATTCCCTTTTGGTATGATCACCCCTCACTCTCCTTTTATGATTTTCTCCTTGTAAGTGGGGATGTGAGTGTGAAGTGAGAAGGAGTGTCTGTGGGTGGGAATTTCAGGTGGGTTTAGCTCTTTTTTGGCAAGCTTTTCCCACGAGTGACTTCTCCGATTTCTCTCCCACTCCTGCTCTCTCTGTTTCCTTTCCCCTTTTTCTTCTCCCCCAGATAATTTGCCCTGTACCTGTTCATTCAGGTAACCAAAGGTGCCTTTTGCTACCCAAACTAGGAAAAGTTTTATTGAGAACTATATGATTGGAATGAAAACTCTTCCAGGGGAGAGGTTCTGTGCTATTTTTACACCTACTTCCAATTCATTGGACTCAGCAATTAAAACTTAGCAAATACCTGTTAATAATTACAAAACTTGATTGATACAAACCTACCAAATTTGGGGACAAGTCTTTCTCTTAGAGATGGCAGTCCATCCTCCTCTCCCACCGGAGAAGGCTGTTGTCTAAGCAGAAAGTGTCTGTTTTCTGTCTGCTTAGTGAGTTTCATTTCTTTATTTCATTCTTTGTGTGTATATGTATGTGAAGTAACACCTCACTTCTGTGATGATAAATAAAGAAGTGAAAGTCCTCATGGAACTTGAGTCGTTTACCAAAGGGTGGGGGGGGGGGTCACTACAGCTGGGACAAAAAAACTGCTGTCAAGATATCAGGGTTTTAAATTAAGGATAACTTTTGAAATTGTATTCTAAGTGGCATAATAATACAGATGGATTGAACAGGAGACACATACACACACTTACCCCATTCCATGCTTTGGCACTAAAAAAATCCAGAGAGCAGGAGTTCCCAGGAACAGTAGTGAGCCTCGCTAGCATAGATGTGTTTATCTCCCACCTACTTATACATGTATTTTCTACATGCTCCCCCTATAATGATGAAGGCAAGATGACTAACTCCAGAGTTAGGAATAACAGGCAAAGATAAAGTTTCCAGCACAAATGCCCGGTCTCTCCTTCTCTCTCTCACACACACACACATGCTCATAAAACTAGCAGCTTACTTTATTAAACATGTATTTATATGCAATCATGTGTAAGTCTCAGCAGGAATACAGGCAGGCCAGCTGTTTCATCCCAGACACTTGTGTGACCATTTCTGTATTTCAGGATTTTGTTTACGCCCCCCCCCCCAAAAAAAAACCCCACAATTTCAAATGCAGAGGAGAGCTAAGAAATGACAAAATGTGTCAAACTTACAAACTCTCCCACTCTGCCTGGGTTAAATTCAAGGTGCTTTCTAAATAATTCACTTCCCCTTCTCTCTGCTCCCCCCTCCACCCCCACCCCTCTCGGCAAACGTGTGGAAACTGATACTCACTTTCCAGGTTTTCCGCAAAGCTTCCAGCGCGGGAGACAATAGGTGCGGGCGTGGGGGACGGAGTGTGCCCGGCAGAGAAGGGGTTAATGGCCCTGTGTTACAGTTTGCATCTGTTACATCTTTTATAGCCCCCTGTTTAAACTAATCCTCGAGGCACCGCATCTTCCCAACCCCACGGAGTCTCGGGATTCTCCTCCTCTCCTGCCTGCCTCGGAGGTTCCCCTTTCTCCAAGTTTTGACAGTTTTCCGCTGTGGGGGAAAAAAAAAAAATGCAGCGCCTCTCTCGATTTTTAGGTACAAAAGTTTCGAAGCCAGAAAGGATACGATCATTTAAGTAGAGCTTAAAAGTATTGCCGTGGCGGTTGGACTTTCTCTTTCCTTTCTTGAGGGGGAGAAAAAAAAATTTTTTTTCTTCTGGAACTATTTTAAGGGAACCAGTGTGGGGGAGCATGTGTGTGAGTGAGGTGGGGGGAAAGTCTGAAGTCAATATTGTCAAAGTGGCGGAGGTGGTGGTGGTGGGGGGGAGGGTGGTGGTGCTGGTGGTGAGGGGGAAACAGTGTCCAAAGAGGCTTATAATTATATTTCTTACTCTGGCGTGAAACGGGAAATCTTAATTTGGGGGCGGGGGGTAGAGGGGAGAAGAGACAGTGCCTCGATCAACTCCGGGAGCGGAGGGGAGGGGTCGCGGGGCGAGTGGGCTTCCTATAATTACTATTCTCATTTGCCCGAGTGTGCTCCACCCGGGGGTGGTTTCGCGGTGTTTTTGTTTGTTTGTTTGTTTGTTTCCTCTGGGGAATGGGGTGGGGGGTGAGACAAGATACGAATGGAAGGCAGCGTCGCCTCGCCCCAAGTTCCCGAGGCTGGCGGCGGACTTTTCGGAGGCGAGGGTCCGCCTCGCCCTGAGTCAAGCAGCCTCACTGTACCGCCGTGTGCATTCCCTCATACGGTCAGGAGTTATGACTCATGTGGAAGATGTAATTCTTGTCTCTGATCCCCTCGCGGGTGCGACACACCAAACAGTAACAAACACAAAGCGCCTCGGGGCCCGGGCTGGGGCGGGGGGCGGGGAGGGGGCCGCCGAAGTTTCGCTTTGGCGCTGGGGGGGCGCGGATGGGTGCTCGCCGGGCCCTGGCCCGGCTCCCCTGGGCGGCCCGCGCGCGTTTCAATGGGCGCGGGCGATGCCCACATTGTCGCTGTGTTTGGTTGCTAGATCGAGCCTGCGTGCTGCCGGAGCAGGGCGCCGAGTCCATGCGAACTGCCATCTGATCCGCTCTTATCAATGAAGCAGCCGATCATGGCGGATGGCCCCCGGTGCAAGAGGCGCAAACAAGCCAATCCCAGGAGGAAAAACGGTAAGAACCGGCCCGAACCAAACTTTTCCGGGCCACTCCGCGGCTCCGGACCCAGGGAGCAGGGGGGGAGAGGGGAAGGGAACCGAGGCGGCGGCGGCGGCGCCCGGGGCTCGCGGGCGAGCCTCCCTCCGCGGCCGGCGCCCGAGCCCTGCGCGCGGGGACGGACCGGGGGGAGTTGGGGAAGTGCCGGGCAAAGTGAGCGGCGGGCGCCGGCGGGCTCCGGAGCGGGGGTCCGCACGGGGCCCCGCGCCCCATCCCCGCCGCCCTCGCGCCCCCGCCTCCGCCCTCCCTCCACCTCCGCCTCCCGCTCCGCTTGCTCCCGGCCCGCCGGGTCCACGGCCGGGCTGCGGAGCGTCGGGCTGGGGCAGGGCGGGGGCCCGGGCGCCGGGTGCTGCGGGATCCCGGGGCGGGGGCGGGGGCGGCTCGGGGACGGCGAGGGATAGAGAGGGGGCCCGCGGCTGTGCCCCGACGAGGCTCAAAGTTTCTTCCCGGAGCCGCCCGGTTGCCTCTCCTGAGCCAAGTAACGGTTCGCGGGCAGCGGGGCCCGGCTGGGCGCGCCCGGGCTCCGCGGTGGGAGGGACTCGGCCGCCCCGGGCGCGCGGGGTCCGGCGGGGTCCGGGCGGGCTTGGGCTGGGTGGCTGCTCTCCAGCGGGCGCTGGCCCCTCGCCGGGGGCTGGCGAGTCGCAGGGAGACTTTTCGGGGCAGTTTCTGCGCGGCCAGGAGGAGCCCGCTACCCGGGCTGCGTCGGGAAGGAGGAAGAAGATGGGGGTGCGAGGGGGACACACAGATAGGAGGTGGGAGATGAAAGCGGTGACAGTTTAGTAGGTCCATCTTGGAGCGAGGCAGAGCAGGGGGAGGGAGAGCGAGCGAGAGAGTAGAAGGGAAAGAGAGAGAGCGAGAGGGACCCCCTAGGTATTACCCCCAAACAAAATCGTGGGAATAAAAGAGAAAAGTGATTGGCAAGAGCGCAGAAGGCGCCTGGGGGAGGGGAGAGAGCTGGGGACCAGAGACGGTGCCGGGGGAGCTGACGGAGGATCCCGAGTTGAACAGAACAGCCAGCCCCCCAAAACAGACGCGCGAACTAGCGCCAGCTCCGCCTGGGAAATGAAACTTCTCGCTCCCCTCGCTCTCGGCCGGAGCAGCGGCGCGGGGCCGCGGTCACGCTCCGGAGCTGGACCCGGGGCCGCGGCGCTGGCCCGGCCTCCGGCCTCCCGCAGCCCAGCCCTCGCCTGGCGGGGTCGCCGGGCCCACTTGGAGCAACTTTCCTCCGGAGACGACGACCGTGCGAGCCCCCCGGCCGGCCCTGAGCGGCGCGGCGCGGGGAGGGGGCGCAGGGGGCGCAGCGTGGGGTGTTGGAGGGGAAAAACACAAAGACTCGAGAAATTTGATTAGAGACAAATGATGCTGCTCCCTGCCTCTCTCTGTTTCTCTGTCTCTGCCTGTCTCTGTCTCTCTCTAGGTTGTGTGTGTGTGTGTCTTTTGCTTGTTGTGGTGGAGGTGTCGAGCCATATGGGGGAGTGATAGAGGAATTTTAGTCAGAAACTGTTCCTTACGTTATCCTGCCTTTTCCCTTTGTGCTGCCTTTGATCTATTTGCTTGGCTTAGTATGACACACACACACACACAAAAACAAGTATAATAATATATTCTGAGCTGCTCCCCCAACATCCAGTTCAGGCTCTCTCTCTCTCTCTCTCTCTCTCTCTCTCTCTCTCTCTCTCTCTCAATTTCTTCTTCACTCTAGTGTCTGGCATTATTTAAGGTGGTCCTTGCGCAGGAGACCCCTCTGCCCCATCACTGGGTAATTTAGTAGTCACTAAAATTACACCTAGTGTCCCCTCTCCGCTCTTGGGTTTCCTCTTCCTTTTATTAAATGTTGCTTATTGATTTTCTAAAATCAATGTCTGTTGTGGGGCGCCCCCCCCCCTTTACAAGTATCTAAAGCACGTTGCTGATCAACTGGATAACAAAAGCTTTGTGTCAAGGAGGCTTTTTTCCCTTGTGTTAAACAATCTTTTTTTTTTTTTTTTTTTGAGAAAGAGAGAGAGAAAAAAAGAGAATGAAATTTAAAGCAAGGTTCCCAGAAGTGTTGCTTTGCAGAATAGACTATTTAAAATGTTTGTTTCTTGTTGCCCGCCCCCTCCCATCCCCTTTGGGATTTTGCCACCGTTGACCAGCCTGGCCCCAGGAGTGAGGTCAGGCCGGAGCCCAGGTCTGGGGAAATACAGGGCTCCAGGCTTCCTGGGAACCGCTGGGAAGGGGGAGGGCGGGGGGTTGGCGCTTGGAGAGGGAGGCCTGCTGTGGGGGCTGTACAGGTGGACAGAGCGCCAGGGAGGGGCTCTGCCTCAGCCGTGGACCCTGCACCCATTTCCTCTCCGCCCAGCCACCAACTTGAGAGAAGCCTCCACACTCTGAAATGGAAAGTTGAATTGCACATTTTAAGGCATTTCGCCCAGTCTCTGCACACTTCACAGCAAGCCTGTCCATCTCTGAGAGCTTCTAGAACTTTGACTAGTACCTGTCTCTTTTTCCAAGTAATCTGTGGGAAAACATGCTGTGAATTGGTGACTTGTATGTGTCTTGCTTTGGGTTTAATTTGGCCGGCAACGTTCTGGTTTCCAGAAGCAGGTAGAAGAGTTTTCTTACCCATTTTTTTTTTTCTCATCAAGCATGTATCCAATGCCTTTTCCTTTGGGAATTGCCAGGATTTATCTGAACTGAGTGGATTTTTCTTCTTTCCTGGATTCATGGAAAATATGTCACTTTTGAGCTTGTGTCTTTGCTGATAACACTAAATATGATGATGCTTATCAAAATCATATAGAAATTCCTGGAAAGAAATAATGGCAATACTAATCATAGAAGTAGAAGCTGCAAAGAAAAGAGAAAAAAGATGGTCATCCAGGGAACTAGAATTGCACTTTATATAATTTTAATGAAGTCAACAGTGTATATATAGACTAAGGCGACAAGGAGATAAAACGTGTAAAGCTGTGTGTGTGCGTGTGCGTGTGTGTGTGTGTGTGTGTGTGTGTGTGTGTGTGTGAATGGCTGGTCAAGAACGTGGGTTAGATAGAAGACGAGGCTATATACGATTATTAAAAAGCAAAGGAGAAGGAGGCAGCTCAAGGAAAATAAATTTACCAAGAGAGAAATGAGAAAGTAAAAATCTAGCCTTTCATGTTCTCAGGCTAGAAAGATGCCTGGCAGAGACAGTGCCAGGGCCAAGTTAATCCATAGTGGACAGTCTCCTTTGGCCCACATAGAAAGGATGAAATCTCTTCCCAGAAAAAAAGATGTGCAGGAGGGAAGGGGGAGAGGGGTGAGGGGGAAGGAGGCAAAAAGCAAGTTGCCGCACACAAGAATGTGTGTCGGTTTCAAGAAGTTCAGTCAGATGATCCTCAGTCGCCTGACTCACTTTGTAACACTTTCACTGAAGCTGGAGAGGAGGGGAACCCCCCCACACCCACCCCCTTCAATTCCCCTGACTATACCCCACTATCTCCACACAGCCTTGGAGTCAGAAGTGAGCACCGGGGATGCCGGCTGCTGCTGCCCCTGGCACAGCCCCCGCTGGTAACTTGCAAAGTTTGTTGCTTTAGCCCCTGATGCAGGCAGCGGCTCCTGGGGATGCCCGGCCTCCCTCTTGCCTCCCGCGGAGCCTGGGAAGACCGGCCTGCCTCCCCAACCCACCACCTTCCAGCATCAGCCTCCGAAAAACTGCACAGACACATGCACATTGTCACAAAAATCAAATCGAGAAACTGTTTCAGAAAAGGGAATAAAGTTGCCTTTTACTTAAAAACTGAATTCGGAGTGGAGGGAGCAAGGACATGGAAGGAAGAAAGGAAAGTTAAATTGGATTGTTCTGCAAAGTTTCAGCTAAAGGTTTTGGGGAAATCTTTGGGGCCTGGGGGAGATTTTTACAAATGCCTTTGGTCTCTGACGTTCAGTGGTAGAGAGAGGGGCTGAAGCTGGATGCTTTCAGGACTGTGGATCCTAGAGGAGGGACACTCAGAGGAGCAGAAATGACCCTCCTTGTTTAAGATAAGTCCTCGCTTGCTACCACTTCCTTAAAGGGAGTGGAGGTTGCTGGTGGTGATGCTTAGAAGCAATAGGGGACACACAAGTTGCTCCTGGTTCAGAGATGCTGAAATGACCAGAGAAATTCAGGCAGGCCCTCCTTCTGGAGGTGGCTCCTCTCTGAGAGGTGAAGTTGGGACGGGGCGGCCTCCAGGAGAGTCCCTCAGTGCAGGGCGTTACCTGCGCATCAGTCAGTTCAGACTTGGTTATCTTTGCAAGTGTGAAAGCCGTTTGCCGCTGCTTTCTCCCTAAAGTTGATGAGCTTATTAGGAAGCCTGTGTTGCTGGCAGGCACCGCGCTCAGAGACAGCATGGATGGCAGGTACCACACAGTGCTCAGGGCTCGCCAGAGATATCCATCTCCATCCTTTCCTCTCTGTGGAGATCCTCCACAAGTTGTGTCACGCCGCACACACCCAACACTGAGGGCTGTGTATCCAGACCGATCTATCTGCTCTCTTTTGGTTTGGGAAAACCAAGTCAATTGGGGTAGAAACCTTGCCTTCCTTCACAGCAGAGACACTAGTCTGCTGGCGCCCATGGCCTGCCGCGCCTCTAGGAGTAAGGGTCAGCTAAGGATTTTAAACTTTACATTGTTTCTCTGTTGCCAAATAAAAATAAAGTCACGTCTTTAAGCGGTTCTTTTCCAAATACGAGTAAAGCCAAGATTGCAAAGTTCCCCCACTAAGCTGCTATGTCATATGTTGCAGATGCTCCCTTCCTTGCCTGCTTAATGTGCTCAAAGTAAAGAAAATTCCAAGAGGTTATCAAAGACCCTCATTCTGCATTAAGAATATTTCCTGGGAAAAATGTGTGTGCCCTGAAGGTAGGAAGGGAGGGTGTTGCTAGCTCTGTAGCAGAGCCACGTTTATTCCAAGAAGGGGGGGGGGGGGGAGTCCTTTCCTCACAACAGTTTTT